TTCGTGGCACTGTTTTGTGATCCTTCAAGTGAGATCCTCATACATTACTACTCCCAGGTCCCTTACATTATTTTTTCCGCTCTATTGAATGTCCGATCAGTAGTATCTACACTGTCTCTTTTATTATCCCCTCCAGTTTTCCATAACGAGTAGTTGGAAATATTCCTCATTGAACATCATATTGTTTACCGTTGCCCACTGGAAAAACTTTGTTTATATCTTCTTGAGTTAACCGCGTCCTCACAGATGACAGCCTCATGCAGATCCTAGTATCATCCCAAAGTGATGATCGTGCTGTGGTGTATATCTCTGTTTAATGTCTGTATGAGGATAAGGAATAAATGGGGGCGAGTAACTGGGCCTGGGTGGAACAGAGCTCTTCACTATGCAGCCTCCGATTTAACTCGTTGACCACTACTCTTTTGTGTGCGATTGTCATGAAGTTGGAGATCTCTCCCCACTTCCCAGTTTATACCTTTAGTCACGTATATAATGGGCTATTCCGCCATGATCACATTTGTCAAAAGCTTTTTGCAAAGTCTTGTATATTACACCTGCATTCTGATTTTCTCTTCCAGTCTCCAAGGCCATGTCATATGATCCAGTAGTGGTGAGAGGCAGGAGAGCGAAACCTGCCCTGAGACCCAGTTGCCCTGATTGTGCAGATTTTGGAATCCTGCTTCTTAGCACACTTGAAACGATTTATATGATGTGGGACTCAGAGCTATGGCTATATTTCTTAGCTAATGCTTGCTGCCAAACCGTTATGGAGTGTGGCTATATCCTTTGTTTTAAGTGACTGTGGAATATCAACCCAGTCCAAGCTCCTCCTCCAAAGTGTACTTAGGGCACCAGAGGGGTTTCTGCAGTTCTTAATTGAAAACTGAGTTCCACGAGTCCCTGGGCCCTTGGCTGAGTGCATAGGCATGTTGTCAATGACTTTTCGAAATCTATCGGATTAGGTAATGTCTGAAAACCTGGCAGTACATTTATGGAGTTTTGAGGCTCCAATCATGAAGAAATCATTTGGGTCGTCGATCCTCAGACCGAATATTGGTTCACTAAACACACCGTCGTACTGGGAATTCAATATTTCAACTCAGTTTCCCCTGTGCATCTGTGTAAGTCCCATCTGTCTAGTAAGTGCCCGATACTATAAGTGGTATAGTATGTTTTTGGCATTAGAAAGAAATATTTTTGAATTTCTTTCAATTTTCACTTAATAGCTTAGCTTTAGCTCCTCCAGCCTCTCCTGGTTCCTGTAAGAGTCATTTAGCTTAAGTTCGATAAGTTCCACTTCCCTGGTCCAGCGCCTCCCTTTCGTGTATCAATATATTCTAGCACACCAGAAGGAGCTCAGGACTCTTCGCGTCCTTCTGTATAGGAGCGTCTTTTTCTCTCCATTTACTCCTGCTCTTCTCTTTCTTAGTGGGAATATGCCTAGAACATGCTTCGGCTACCAGGAAGTTGATCCTTTCAAGGCACGGTTTGGATCCATGTCATTTAAGACATCTTCCCAACATGTTTTTCGTTTAGGACATGTTACCTGTCCCAGTTAAAGTTCTTGTTGTTGGAAATAGTATTTTTGAAGACAACCTTCACAGGTACATGCATTCTGCTGTTTCAGGACCCTAATGCATGTACGTCTGCCTTCTATTAGATTGTGAGCGGAATTAGATGTTTTTGAATATTCTTATGTCTCTTACATGTCCTCATTATTTGTGAAGATAAGGTCAAGTGTGTTTTTCTAGTCTTGTGGCTCCATATTATTCTCTGTTAAGGTGTGTTTTTCGCAGAGACTTAGTACTCATGTGTGAGTGACCTTTCAACAGTGCTACCTCCGGGAATTGTTTCCACTTATAACATTATTTGCTACATCTTCCATTTTTAGTATGCCCTAGGTTGAAAAATCACCAAGCGTAAGATGTTTGGGATGGAGCTGGAAGGGATTTCCCAACAGGTAATCGATTTTCAGTAGCTGTTCCTTGAACTGTTGTGAGTTGCAATCTGGTGGCTGTATACAACCACAATGACTAGGTTTTGGTTCTCGATCTTTATTGATATAACTTCAACTACCTCATTTGTGGTGTTCAGCAAACGTCCGTGCAGAAAGGTACTCTTTGACATACAGGCCAACCCCCCCTTGTTGCTGTTTTTCTGTCGCAACTAAAAATTTGTAACCATTATCCTATTTCACTGTCAAAGTGATCTTTATGTGTAGACTCTGTGAAGGCAGCAAAACAATGCATTAGACTACACCTAAAAAAGAAGTCCACTGATAATAGGGTATTTTGTTGTTGGTGGAATGGCTTAAGGCCCTGTATATAAGCAAATATGAACGAGTTGTTTTCTGTGATTGTTGGGGGATTCTTGTATTATTGGCAACATAGTTGTAATTCTGGAGGGCCATGGGTGCCACTAGCAAGCTGCGCCTCCAGTCCAACAAGGCTCAAAGTTGGTTGACTATTTTTATTCCTTCCATTATCTTTTTCGTTTTCCTGCCACTAAAAAAAATCACCTGAGTGGTTGTCGAGCTACTATTGGTTTGTCTTGTGGGTCTTTGCCTCCTGGTCCCTTTTATAATGGTATGCAGGCACTCGATGTTGTAACACTTGCTTCAGGAGGACCGAGAGTGGCACATTTTTGGGTGAAAGAAAGTACAGGAAGAAGAACTGACACACTCCTTTAGACAGGAGGAGTCGCTACACATTTTTTGGGATGGTCAAAGTTGCATGTCCCATTTTTTTCCACCTGTTATTCCATGCTTACAGATCCCCCAAGCATAAGAGTTTGCACAAATTCACCTTTTGGTTGAGAATTGTTTTGGGAGGTGTTTGTCATTTCTGCAGGTTCTCTGGTACTGCACGTATAATCCGTCATATCCAACCAAGGCACCCCATCCTGGATCCCCATCTACTGTTCCCCCAGTAAGGAAGAAGGAGGAGACTCCTCTCCAAACTCTGTACTGAGGGCAACGGTCCTTGTGCAATGATGGTTGTATATTTTAACTGTTTTTGTGAGGTTTGGTAGTGTCCCTAGGAGAGTCCTGGGCTGCAGTAAGGGCTGGGGCTGGACGGGTCCAGCACTGGGGCTAGGGGGGTGGGGCTTGTCTGGGTCAGCAGCAGGCCTGGGCCAGCACACCAGCACTGTGGTATTGGTGCTATGCCTGGGGTAGCCTGGGCCAGCACCAGCACTGTGGGTATAAGTGCAATGACTGGGGGATGGTCTGGTTTTAGCACTAACGTGGGTGACTATACGTTTCGAGTCTCAGTTGTGTATGGACTCTGCATTTTTGATACACTATCTCTTTCTCCCATGTTTTTATATATTTTTTGGTAGAAACTATCCAAGAGGTCATCTCTTTGATTTCTGATTAGTTTATCATTATTACTTCCCTAGTACCTTCTGATACCTGCCCCCAAGGTTCTACAACTTTCTTGCCAACCAAAGCACCTTGCTAGTTCGAGGTCATTTTTGAGGCTGTATTTAGTCAAGTACAGAGAGATATGGTTTTGGAAAGAGCATAGTTTGCATGTGATTCTGTATTTCCTTCCAAGGATTTTGTTTACCATGTCCCACAGATATGCTGTGCTGACATCCTGTCTGTATCCTACTACAACTGTATGCCACGACAGAAAACTGATTTCCAACTTTAACCTTTCTCTTGCTGGTGCCAGTACATAATGCAAGATGTATTAATACAAACCAATTTGCAGTATGTGGGTGGTGTTGTATGGTGGGTGGTGGGTGTGGTGTGCAGGGTGGGTGGTGGGTGTAGGGTGGGTGGTGGTGCAGGGTGGGTGGTGGTCAGGGTGGGTGGTGGTGCAGGTGGGTGGTGAGCTGGCAGACTTGCCCACAACTGCCACACTTCACTATATTTTTTTTTTATACTATTATTATTATTATAACAATTTAAATTCCTTTTATGTAAGTGCTGTACACTGTTTATCTCAAGGCTGTACACTGTATTCTTTCAAATTACACTTTATTCACTGCGTTATAATGGATCCTTGTATTTATAGTTTACGAGGCCTACGCTAACTTCCCCTAACACTTCTAAGGAAAAAGATTATTTTCCTGGTTAGTAGAGGTAACGGTTGTATGCTCAATTTATGTATGCTGTGATTCCCTGCACCTCAATGCTACCATCACTCGTTTCATATCTTATGACTGTAGTAGTTACTTATCCGTTATTAACACTTCACTGGACCTCTGGCAATAGTTCGCTAGTGCCAGTCGCTTGTAAGATATTCCCCTATCACACCGGTGAAGACGCGGCGCAGGAGCTATAAATCGACCCCTGCAATCACAATTAGGTGAGTACATGCTCTCAACATCAATGAGCTCTCATAACCATTTTAAAATTTTATACTTTTGTAACCAATTGTTGACTGTCCTATATAAGAACATATTTTTAATATTAACTTTACTTACAAAATCTTGTATTATGAGAGTTTTTTTTTTTCTTAGTCGCCGGTACTCTCCGGCCCGGGTCTTTTCCAAGTAGTGGAGACCCGGCCTTGGCTCCCTATCTGGGGAGTATTTCGAGACCTAAGTCTCCCATGGGAGGAGGTACAAGTACCCCATCATCTTTGGGACCAAGTGTCCCCAGGCCTAGCCACATTCCCCGCCTCACGGGGCACGAAGAAGAAGCTAGCCTCTGGTCTGCCATCTGCCCCGCCCCAAAGGGGCTCTTTAATTAGCAACTACTAAACATGAACTGTATGCTAAGAAATACAACACTGCTATTTTATTTTATTTTCTAGAAAAGAATTACAAGAACCCCAGTGCAAATAACTCACTTTCTTTTACTTTTAGGGGTTATTATATGTAATTTACGTATGTGTTATTATTAAAGAAAATTGTGATTATCTACAAGGTAAATAAATGCAACTAAATAAACTTATTTAAAGTATCCCTTAAGAAAATATACCTCGTACATTTTCTTTCACAACAATAGAAAACGGTCACCTGTACTGAGGTAACTCAAGTAGACTGACCATGTGCTTGCAGTTGTTGTTGCTGCTGCTGCTGCTGCTGCTGCTGCTGTTGTTGTTGTTGTTGTTGTTGTTGTTGTAAGGGTAGTGTTGGTGGCAGGGTGGAGCAGGACCTGGGACCACAGAAGACGGCGCAGGGGGCTGGAGGAGTGTCCTCACGGGGACTCTGCTTCTCCTCGTCCATGCTAGCCTCAGCATCATCCTCACTCTTAGAGAAGTCGTCCCGCGAGGCAGCCATGGTGACCTCTCCTACACGGAGTGGGAGAGGGAAGTTTATTAAGTTGGTTTAGGTCAAATTTACACAACTTTTGGGTAACTACGTTTGTCTTACATAGTAACATATGTGTAAATTACTTACGATAATCCAAAATAGTCAAAGTGATCCTTGTAATACATGATTACGAGTAGCCAAATTAATTATTATTATATGCAATAAAATTCTGTCAAGATTACAATAAAAATAATGAGGAGTAAATCAGACTCATGAAAACGTTTAAATAACAAAAAATACCATAGAAATAAAATCAAATGAGTAAATTACACGAAGAGTAGAGAGAGAATCAGCTGAGTATAACATTTACACGAAAGTAACTATGCAAGAAATCATTTTCCTCCCTGTCTATGACTTCATTCATTAAGTACTCTTTAGTTTTCTTCTTAAGTTGGTTTATGCTGAGATTTGCCTTGTCGTATTCAAGCAACCCGTTCAACTCACGTATAGCTGTAAGTACTACAAACTCCTACTGCAACATTGGTTTTGCTTTATAATCTGCCTTAACAAAATTCGCAGCAAGATATTTTGGACACTGATTGTGAGCAATTTTATATCAGTTACTTCAGCTGCCTTGCCTTGTCTGCAGTATTTAGCATTTCCAGTTGTTGTAATTCATATTGGCCTACATGTTCTCTTGGACCAGGTCCAGGATCACTCTCACCATTTTATTCTTGGTAATTTGTAGTCTGTCTTTTTTTTTTTTGTTAATTAGGCGTCCCATCACTCTTTCGCAGACAGTTCTCTGTACATTCTTTAGATCTGCAATTTCGCCTGCTTCAAATGAGGGTGTTAGTGTAGTGCAGTATTCCAGCCTAGAGAGAACAAATGACTTAAAGACTTGGCATTACTTGTTTTGAACGTTCTCCTCTATCCACCCTATCATTTTCTTCGCAACTTTCATCCTTGAATGTAAGAAAGTCCTTCACATTACTTTTTCGCTCAAATTGTGTAGTTAAAATGCATTTTACACTCCGTTCTAGCTTTTACGTCCTCAAACTTGTCCTCACTCAACATAATATTGTTTTCAGCGGCGCACTGGAAGACCATTTATATCCCCTTTGCGATTGACTGGATCTTCAGTGGATGACGCTCATGCAAATTCTAGTGCCATCTACAAATAATGATACAGTGCCATGTTTATGACTGTGTCTGTGCCCACTGTGTCCTCCAATGCATCCAAGACTATAACACAGTGGTCCAGTAGCTGAGAGAGGCAGGAGCGACCTGCTCCAAACCCATGCGGCATTACGGGAAAGGTAGGCTGATGGACTTAACACACTCCTGCTCGGCTGACCCACACCCCAGCCAGACTGCTAACACACTCCTGCTCGGCTGACCCACACCCCTTCCATCACTGCTAACACACTCCTGCTCGGCTGACCCACACCCCAGCCAGACTGCTAAGACTCTCCTGCCCGACTGACCCACACTCCAGCCTGACTGCTAACACCCTCCTGCCCGGCTGACCCACACCCCAGCCTGACTGCTAACACCCTCCTGCCCGGCTGACCCACACCCCAGCCTGACTGCTAAGACTCTCCTGCCCGACTGACCCACTCTCCACTCTGACTACGAACACCCTCCTGCTCGGCTGACCCACACCCCAGCCTGACTACTAACACCCTCCTGCCCGACTGACCACACTCCAGCCTGACTGCTAACACACTCCTGCTCGGCTGACCCACACCCCAGCCTGACTACTAACACCCTCCTGCCCGACTGACCCACACTCCAGCCTGACTGCTAACACCCTCCTGCCCGGCTGACCCACACCCCAGCCTGACTGCTAACACCCTCCTGCCCGGCTGACCCACACCCCAGCCTGACTGCTAAGACTCTCCTGCCCGACTGACCCACTCTCCACTCTGACTACGAACACCCTCCTGCTCGGCTGACCCACACCCCAGCCTGACTACTAACACCCTCCTGCCCGACTGACCCACACTCCAGCCTGACTGCTAACACACTCCTGCTCGGCTGACCCACACCCCAGCCTGACTAACACACTCCTGTTCACTCCGGAACACTTCATGTTCTTACACTTCATGTTCTTGTACCACTTGTTCTTGCACCCAAATCTGCACACTGCCATAACAACATACTGGAGTGAGAGATATGGGAGGAAGTGTAAAATAAACACAGTGAGGAGCAGGGGTGCGGTGGGGACAATAAGGGAACACTATATCAACATCCGGGGTCCCAGACTATTCAACATCTTACCAGAAGATATCAGAAACAGTGCTGGAACAAGTGTAGAAGCGTTCAAGAAGAAACTGGACATATTCTTCACCAGGAGCCAGATCAACCAGGCTGTGATGGCTATGTGGGGCACCGGGCTTCCAGCAGCAACAGCCTGGTTGAACAGTCGAGCACCAGATGAGCCTGGCCCATGGCCGGGCTCTGAGAGTAGAGAAAATTTCCAAACCTTTTCAAAGGTATATCAAAGGTACCCATCAAACCATAAGAAAACTCCCCCCATCCCCAAACCCCCGGGGGCATGTACATAAAACCCCCCATACATTGTTTAAATGAGAAAAAAGCTTTTAAAGGGTCTGGCAGTGCCCCTTATCCTGGTCCCAGATGACCCACCCCCCAGCTAAAAGCAAACACCTGCTGTCGGCTGCCCCCCAACCCCCCAGCCTGACTGCAAAACCCCTTTGCTGCTGGGCTGCCCCACACCCCGCATGACTCTAACACACTCCTGTTCGGCTAAACCCACCCCCCAGCCAAACCCAAAACCCCTTTTTCGGCTGAACCACCCCCAGCCTCATGCTAAAAAACCCTCCTCTCGGCGACCCCACCCCCCAGCCGGGACGGGTTTAAACATTGCCGGCTGCCCCAACACCCCCCCCCTGACTCTAACAATCCTGCTCGGCTGAACCGCACCCCAGCCTGACTGCTAACACGTCCTGCTGGCTCCCCACCCCCCAGCCTGTCGCCCCTCCTGTTCGGCGAACCCACCCCGCCTGAATGCTAACACACTCCTGCTCGGCTGACCCACACCTCAGCCAGACTGCTAACACCCTCCTGCTAGCTGACCCATACCCCAGCCTGACTGCTAACACCTCCTGCCGGGCTGACACCACACCCCAGCCTGACTGCTAACAACCCCTCCTGGTCGGCTAACCCACACCCCAGCCTGACTGTTAACACACTCCTGCTCGGCTGACCCACACCTCAGCCTGACTGCTAACACCCTCCTGCTCGGCTGACCCACACCTCAGCCTGACTGCTAACACTCCTGCTAGGCTGACCCACACCTCAGCCTTGCCGTTAACACACTCCTGCTCTGGCTGACCCACACCCCGGCCTGGCTATTAACACACTGAGCTTGATTGACACACACCCCAGCCTGACTGCTAACACGCTGCTGCTCGGCTAGACCCACACCCCAGCCTCACTGCTAACACACTAGTGCTCGGCTGACCCACACCCCAGCCTGACTGCTAACACGCTTCTGTTCGGCTGAACCTCACCCCAGCCTCGCTGCTAATACCCTCCTGCTCGGCTGACCCACACCCCAGCCTGACTGCTAACACCCTCCTGCTCAGCTGACCACACCCCAGCCATGGTTGCTAACACACTCCTGCTCGGCTGACCCACACCCCAGCCTCACTGCTAACACCCTCCTGCTCGGCTGACCCACGCCCCAGCCTCACTGCTAACACACTTCTGCTCGGCTGACCCACACCCCAGCATGACTGCTAACACACTCCTGCTCGGCTGACCCACACCCCAGCCTGACTGCTAACACTCCTGCTCGGCTGATCCATACCCCAGCCTGACTGCTAACACCTCCTGCTCGGCTGACCCACACCCCAGCCTGCCTGCTAACACACTCCTACTACTCGGCTGACCCACACCTCAGCCTGCCTGCTAACACACTCCTGCTCGGCTGACCCACACCTCAGCCTGACTGCTAACACCCTCCTGCCGGCTGACCCACACCTCAGCTGACTGCTAACACCTTCTGCTACGGCTGATCCACACCCCAGCCTGAATGCTAAAACCCTCCTACTCGGCTGACCCACACCTCAGCCTGACTGCTAACACCACCTGTTTCGGCTGACCCCCCACCTCAGCCTGACTGCTAACACCCTCCTGCTCGGTTGACCCATAACCCCAGCCTGACGCTAACACCTCCTCCCTTTGGCTGACACCACACCCTAGCCTGACTGCTAACACCCTCCTGCCCGGCTGCCCCCACAACCTCAGCCTGACTGCTAACACCCTCCTGCTCGGCTGACCCACACCTCAGCCTCACTGCTAACACAATCCTGCTCTTTTGTGATGAAGGGTTTGAAAAACCGACTTTGAAATTGAGACACTTATGCAGCATAGGGGAATCTTTATTCAGAAAACGTTTCGCCACACAGTGGCTTCATCAGTCCAATACAAAGAGGACGGCGTAAGGAGAGGAGGAGAATGAGGAAAACAGTCCCTCAACCTGGAGTCGATGTGTTTCAGTCCACAATCTTGTAGAATGTACAGCATAGGGCCGTAGACGTGGCTTATATACTGTAGTGAGGTGACTGAAGCAGGTGGAGGCGGGGTCATAGTGGTACCATCCACTAGTCGAAGTAGGTCTTGGGCCAAAGGTTGAACAATGTTGAAGAATTCTTTTTAACAGATCCCATGATGCTGCAGTGTCTGACAGTGTGATGAATGGTTTGAGGGACTGATTACCTCATTCTCCTCCTCTCCTTACGCCTTCCTCTTTGTATTGGACTGATGAAGCCACTGTGTGGCGAAACGTTTCTGAATAAAGATTCCCATATGCTGCATAAGTTTTCTCAATCTTCAACTTGTCGGTTTTTCAAACCATTCATCACAACTGTCAACACTGCAGCATCATGGGATCTTGTTTCAAAGAATTCTTCACACTTGTTCAAAACCCTTTGGACGAAAGACCTACTTCGACTAGTGGATGGTACCACTATGACCCCGCCTCCACCTGCTTCACGTCACC